GCCTTAAATTATGGAAATTTTCATCTCGCTAACACGGATATCCGTGAATGTATCATTTTCACGGAATTTTTACGGAAGACACGGAGAAATAATGGAAATATTCGGATAAAAATTTTTTATAGGGATGCGTGTAAATTCTCTGTTTCAATAAATTCTTTGATATCTTCCACAAAGCCATAACTTCCATTAAACCGTTAATACTAATTAGAACAATGAAGTTTTGTTTGATACTCGAATGGCAAGGCTGAAGGATGAACAATATTTTATTTAAATAATATTTAAGACATGAACGTACGGACATCAATATATTATATAAAAATATAATTAAAATTTATAAAAATATAAAAATAAAATTGAGCAATGATAAGAATTTAAATAGATTTCACGGCTAAGTTATATACGTTAGGTAATTATAATTTTATTGTCGAAATTGAGTAAATTGATTATCCGTAGTACCAAAGAAGAATAATCCGAATAAGTATTATCTTGTTGAGGAAAGGTAGGCACAATGATTATTTTAAATCCGGGAATATCAAAACTAAAGATTTCAGATTGCGAAGGGTTAATAGTAGTCATGTTAAATGAATCAAATGAAGAGGAGGTATTTTCAATAGGTTGCAGGTGATCTGCGGAACATACGGCGAAGTGTAGTATTGCGAAATTGAAGTTGAAACGGTGTTTCCATTAGAAGTGGGTTGGTGATCGGAGTAATTATTATTTGTATTACTTGTTTGAGCTGTTGGAAAAATATTATCATCGTTCATAGAAAAGTCAGAAGTGGTCGCAACGATATTTGGAGGTTATTCCTGTTCAGGATATAGTTGGGTGCCGAAACATTTCGACATATGCAATTGCCGAAACTATTGCCGAAATCCTAAACTATTAGACCATTACTAAATCTAGATTTAGGTTAAATTTTCAGTAAAATTAGGATTTTGGAAATGGCTTAGGATATTAGCAATGGGTTTAGGTTTTCAGATTTGGCAACTATATAAACTAAAAGCTGAACTATTTTCAGTATATGGTCAATAAGTTTCAGCATATGAAGAGTTTCGGCACCCAACTATAACTGAAACCTGAAAATTTTCAGGATTTTTATTAATATATCAAAAAAAAATGGTGCAAAACATTTTTTTTGAAAATATTGCGATTCACTTTTTTATATTAAAATCGTACAAAAAGGTGAATCGCAATACCGCAACTAACTTTTTTTATATAAAATCAATATAAAAAAGTGAATTCCGATATCACAATTCACTTTTTATATATATAATCAATATAAAAAAGTGAATCCCAATTTCGCAACTCACTTTTATTATATAAAATCAATATAAAAAAGTGAATCCTAATATCGCAACTCACTTTTATTGTATAAAATCAATATAAAAAAGTGAATCCTAATATTGCAACTCACTTTTATTATATAAAATCAATATAAAAAGTGAATTGTAATACCATCACTTATATTATGTAAAATCATAGTTTCAGGTCAACAGGTCATTCAGGTTATATTGATGTTACAACCTGAACTGATGCTGAATTGCAATTGCTAAACCTGATTTGATAAATTCAGGTCAACCTGTCAGGCTACCTGAATTTGGTCAACCTGTTCGAAACTCTATCCTAAGACACTTTATAATTCTATTCAAGAATGCAAACCTTTAACACCTACTATATTACAATATGATGCAACAAATTTGCTTAATTTATTGAGAGAATATCAAATTAAAAACCCAGAATGGTATTATCAAGCTTGTTTTGATGAAACAGATGGAAGACTTACTTCAATATTTTGGATGTCTTCAACACAAAAACAACTCTGGTTACGATATCATGATGTTGTAATTAATGATTCAACATACAAAAAAAATTGCTATGATTTGACCTTAAATATTATTGTTTGTATTGACTGTAATAATCATACCAGATTGGTTGCATGTGCTTTAGTTGATGATGAAACTGAGGCAACATTTAAATGGATTTATGAAAATATTATAATTACTACTAGGAATATTATGCCATATTCAATATATATTGATGGAGATCCCGCTATGTTTTAAGCTATTAAGAGTGTTTTTGATACAACAGTACATTTTATCTATATTTATCATATTGATCAAAATATTCAAAAGAAATTAAAAAGTGTTCTTGGATCAAATTTTACTCAATTTCATAAAGATTTTTATCAAGCATGAAACAGTTTAAATGTTGAAAAGTTTAATTTCTATTGGGAAAAATTGAAAAATAATTATCCATTAGCAGTTCCATATCTAAATCAAGTATTAGATCAAAATCGAACTGCATGGGCACTTTGTTATAATCGTAAAATGTTTACTGCTGGTATTCAAAGTACTTTACGAGTAGAAGCAATAAATTCTATTATTACATCTGATACAAATTGAAGTACTGGACTTTATCAATTATTTAATATTTTAATAGGCCAATGTAATTTGGAAGCAAACAATGTTTTAATTAATCAGCAATTGTAAAAACAACCAAATGTTTCATTACCAACAATTTATAATACAATATACAAATCAATTGATGAAGAAATTCAGAATTATTTGTTGCCTAATATGCATAATAAGGTTTGTATTCAGATTTCTGAAAGTTTCTTATATACAGCTCAACAATTTGATGGCAACCTTGAAGAATATATTAATGTAAGTAACTTTGATAACTTTTTATTTGCTTTTATTTATTAATTATATTATTCACTAATTTGTAATCAAATATTTAGTTACAGGGCGAAATTGATAATACAACCAAAGGATATCTTGAAGAAATGTATAAAAAACTGCAAATTAACTTGAAAACATTATTGGAATATGTAGAACAGCAATATATTACATCTTTGTGGATTATTAGACCTATGGTTTCAAATTGGAATCATCATATTTTGATCTTAAATGATGGATCTTTTTTATACACATGCTTCACAATTATTAACTTCAGAATACCTTGTCGACATTTTTTTTGTTTAATGAGATATACAAGTAATGCACAATTTGCAATGGCTTTAATTAATCGTAGATGGTTTAATGATGATAAAGTTTTTGATTCAACAATAGATACTTCAATAACAAAATCAATTAGTATCGTCCAGAAAGAATCTTATATTAATAATCCAATAATACCAAAATGTCAGATTTTAAGTACATTAAGAGGACAACTCATTGATACAGAACTGGTAAAAAAATTATCAAAACAAAAACAGCAATTTATTGAGGGATATGAGTGTGTAACAAAAGCATTAAATTTAGTAATTAAAACTGATTCTGTTGATGAATTAATTGGGCTGTGTAATAGGTTTATGTCTTTTCATATTCATCTTAATATTCAACAAACTAATGGAATATATCAAAATGATCCCAATTATATTCCAAATTCAATTGTATATAAAGTTCGTGGACGTCCACCTAAAAGACTGAAAAGTGCAGTGGAAATTTCTAGAAATAAAAGGCCTTTTAAAGAACTTACGAATATAAATCAAACTGATGAACAAAATGCAGAAACAAGTGCGGCTGCAGCTGAAGTAAATCTTCATTGTGGACAGCAAAAATGTAGAAAATGTGGGCAATTAGATTATTATCAAAAGAATTGTAATAATAATGTATAGATTTTATTATAGTGTAGAGATTTTATTGTAATAATGTTATTATAATTAAAGAAATAAAATTTATTAATAAACGTATTAATATATACAGTTTCCTTACAATTCGTAACTCTAATATATCACGTGACATACTGTAAAGTGGTATTTTAATTATATATATATATATGGTTATATAACCATAAAAGGTGGTGAAATAACCAGGATGGTGATCGTAATTAACCACGGTTAAGTTTAGCAACGGTATTATTTTTTACTATTTTTAAATTTTTAAATAAATTACTTATATTACAACTCCAAAATGTAATTTACAAAACCTAACACCAGGACAGGACCTGGAAAACTATATATAAAGGTTACTGCCAAAAAATCAAAAAAAAATAGGAGTGTGAACCATAATATGATTGGTTGTTTTGCTGTTTACTCACATGTTTCTATTTCAAATATAGTAATAGGTAGTGCTCCGAAAAAAATCCGATCTGATCTGGGATCCGCAGATTTAATCCGAGCCAGATCGGTTCGGTTTTCAAAATTTTGATCCGTAGATCAGATCGGATTTAAAAAAAATCTGATCCGATCAGATTCAGATCAGATCAGATCAAACACGAGAAAATCTGATCCGATCTGAACAGATTTCGGATCAGATTTTTTTTTTAAAAACCCTTTCCTGGACGAACGGACGCCGGACGACCAAGATTTAAAAGAACGAACTAGATAAGTTCGTTTCTTTTTTTTTGTTATTTTTACTTGAGGGAACTTAATTAACGGTTCCCTTCTTTTTTATTAGGAAGCCTGGACGAACGAAGCCTAACGACCAGGATTTAAAAAAAAAAGAACGAACCTATGGTGAGTTCGTTCTTTTTTTAAGTTTTTTTTTTTATTTTTACTTAAGGGAACGTAATTAACGTTCCCTTTCTTTTTTTTTAGGAAACCTGGACGTGGACGAAGCCATTAACGACCAGGATTTAAAAAAAGAACGAACTATGGTAAGTTCGTTTCTTTTTTTAAGTTTTTTTTTTT